TCCCTTGAAGCCCCCAAGCAAATAAATCAATATACGATATTAAATATGAGACTTGTTTTGTAATATAATTTATACTATAAAATGAGTTTTATATTTAGGGGGTATTTAGATAAATCCAAACTATGGTTTGAAAAATAGCTTTTGGAAACAAAGTAATTTTGAGAATAGATTTTGAAAGAATAGCTTCTGGAAAAAAAAAGTGATTTTGATAAAATAAGAGTGTTTGAATAGTTATTATAAGAAGCACTTTTTCAAATGCAAATCACCAAAGATATATAAGTTGATATAATAATTACATAAAAAAATATATTTTAATTTATATCTTCATTTGAAGTAATAAATTTCCTAATAATTTTTTTTGCCAATATAATAAATGATATATAAAAAATAATAATTAATTATTAGTATGTGTATCTATATTTATAAAATATAAGATTATATATGTTTTTAGAAAAATGAATGGTTTTTTGCCAACACAAAAATATAATTTTAACATTATAAACATGAAAAATTAAATAGCGTAAACTTTTTTTTTGAGCTAAACCATAGGTATCATCCCATTGAAAGCAATCCTATTCGAGGCACTGTCAGGCACTAAATGTGGGTATCTCTCTCATTGAGGATTCGAACCTTAGTTCGTCACGTTATGAAAGACTAATTCCTTCTACTAGACCAACTCTTATTGGCCCGTGTAAACTATTTTAAAAGTTGGAAGTTACTCCCCTATGCGCTTGTTTGTCCATTTGTCAGGACACCTGCTGACCCAAACAAGCTTGAGGTCTGACCACAGAAGCCCATCCTTCTGCTCCCATAATAATTACCCCAGCGACCGGTTTTTAGTCCTCATAAGTGGAATGTTTTTGTTTTTTTCAAAACTACGTTTTAGGTGGCCAAAACCAAAAAATTCCCCGTTTGGTAGCATGGAAGTGGGAGGGGGGAAGTGGAAGTGAAAATGGAATCCAAATTTACGGTGTTTGGTACGCTGGAAGCCACATTCATGGAACTCCCACTTCCATCAAAATCGTTGGAACTCACTTCCTTGGTCCCCCCCCAGGAACCCAATTCCACATCTCATGGAATTGGCTCTGTGACTATTTTGCCCCCATCCGCACCCTTCCCTCTGTTCAACACCTGCTAGCAGGCTTTTTTACTCAGATGCGATAAACAGTAAAAAAATTTACTCAGATACGATAAGATCAAACCTATTTACCAAAATACTACACCTAAAATCGTTCACACCGTGAATGACTTTAAATTTGTACAGAACTTGTTCTTGGTCTGAACAACTTCAGTGAGGCCCACATCAGAAAATAAAAGTTGTTCTCAGTGTGAACAATTTCAGTGGGGCCCACATCACCAAATGAAAGTTGTTCTTGGTTTGAACAACTTTAGTAGGACCCACAATCCATATTTGTCTTATGCTCCATGTGAAATTGCTTCCTTCCATGCCTTTTCTATTTTTATTTGATCAGACCACACTTTTGTTTTTTCTTGCCACACGCAAAGTTACTCAAGGAGTAGTATTTCATTGTTTGAAACTCAACTCACGCGTAAGGATTCCTTCCCTACATATTCCCATCAATATAGGACTCAGGGAGTGGTCATTCATTGTCTTCAACTTTGTTTTGGCAAGTGAGTGCATAGCGTAATTTTGATTTATATAATGATTTTCGACATTCCCACTCCATCTACCTTCTCATCACTTTTCAAATTGTTCTTAAACTTGGCTGATTCCTTCCACACTTTCGTGTGACGTAGGTGGTGTGTGCGGTCTTGCAGTTGTATATATTTCATCTCAACTTGAAACTTGATTTTTCTTATGAATAAGGTACATTCTCTAGATTAATTTTTTTTTAAATTTTGGTATGTATTTTGCTAAATGATGAATAAAAATTTTATATTTAGTCATTTTAACATGTTGAGTTTGTCTTAATTAAAAAATGTAGACATATAATTAATTGCCATATAAAATAAATTGTAGTTTACTTTTTTATAACCTGATTAAAAATATAATTGTTTTCTTAGTAGATAGTGTTTGAGTAAATATGTAGTCAAATTAAATATGTATCTGGTTAGATAATATTTGGTTGTGAGCTTAGTCTGGTCTTATATCCTGTGAAAACTAGCACTAAGTGGTGCCCAAATTTTCCTGATAAAAAGAGTACTGATGGTGGGATTAATAATACTGAAAGAGAGGAGTTTTTTTATTTAATTTTTGGGGAAAATTAGAGAGGAGGACTTAGGAAAAGTAATATTTATTAAAGATAAGCATAAAAATTATAATTATTTAGGGAGACCAAATAATAAAATATAAATTTAAAAAAATTACTCATCAATAATGGCTAATTGTTTTGTCATATTAAGTAATTATAAAGTTAAAATAACTAGTGTGAAATAGTTATTAACATTTATTTTTGTTTTTAATCATAGGGATGCTTTTTTAGGTCACTTAAATAGTACCTAATGTAAAATTACACAATTGTATTTATTATAAGCTTATCATTATTCAATGTAAATTTACCTTTATGTGTTAGTCAAAGAATAATTATATTCCTTTCAGCCTCTAATTTCTAAAATGTATACAATTATAAGATCGCACACACCACCTACTTCACACGAAAGTGTGGAAGGAGAAAGAAAAATAGAGGAATCAGTCAAGTTTAAGAACAATTTGAGAAGTGATGAGAAGGCAGATGGAGTGGGAATATAAAATGTCATTATATAGACCAAAGTTACACTATGCACTCACATGCCAAAACAAAGCTAAAGACAATAAATGACCACTCCCTGAGTCCTATACTGATGGGAATATGTAGGGAAAGAATCCTTATGGGTGAATTGAGCTTCAAACAATAAAAGACTACTCCTTAAGTGACTATGCGTGTGGCAAGAAAAAACAAAAGTATAGTTTGGTCAAATAAAAATTGAAAAGGCATGGAAGGAAGCAATTTCACGTGGAGCATAGGACAAATATGAATTGTAGGCCCCATTGAAATTGTTCAGACCAAGAACAACTTCTATTTTCTAATGTGGGTCTTACTGAAGTTGTTCAGACCAAGAACGAGTTCTGTACAAATTTAAAATCGTTCATAGTTTGAACGATTTCAAATGTAGTATCTTGATAAATAGTTTTGATCTTATCGTATCTGAGTAAATTTTTTTACTGTTTATCGTATCTGAGTAAAAAAGCCCCTGCTAGCATGACGGCAGACGGCGATGATCCTGGTGAGCACGATGATGGACGGCGTCGACGCCGGTGACCACTCGGTAGACGGCCTCTCCTTAGCCGAGGCTCATGGATTCCTCAAAGCCTCCAGCGATGCTCCTACTTGCATGAGATCTGGAGCATAGAGGGTGGCGGCAGCGGAGCGGTGCGGATTTCATCTCTACTCTTTTCCTCCATGGCTCCTCATTCTCCACCAGATCTCATCTTCTCCCTTCGACCTTGTCTTCTTCCTTCCACTTTCTCATTCTTTGATTTCCATTTGTAATTACTGAAGCTTGCGAATCTTAGAACAAAGCTTACAATGCAAATGTTGAAGCTCATGAATCTCCCCAGACAAGAACCTTGTGCTGATTTGCTTGCTTTGAGAGGTTTTTTGGTCTCGACTTTTTAGCACGATTTTGATTTTGGGGGGGGGCGTTAATTTCCATTACTTCAATTCTGCCATTTTCAATCCAGTTCTTTTTTTATGACTAGAATATTGTTGTCTTCTAATCATTCAATTTGTGTAATTTGTGATTCATAGTTATTGTTTCTTTTTTATCGGATCTGTTTATGGTGGTCATTGGTTCTTTTGACTATGTTGGTGGTTTTCAGTGGATGGTCGCCTCTGGGGTGGAGAGGGTTTTTCAGCGGGGAAGGAGATTTTATTTTTGGGCCAAGGGTATTTTGGTATTTTCACATTATAATGATATATTTTAATTAAAATTTATATCCCACTTCCATGGTTGCACCAAACATATCATAACTCATTTTCTCTTCCACTTCCATTTTTATTTCCACTTCTACTTTTATTTGCATTCTATTGAAAACTCTTCTATATTATACGGGACATAGGTGTTTGGATGGATTTAGAGGTATTTGGATAAAAACAAAATCATGATTTTAAAAGTGTTTTTATGGTATACAACATGAAGTAAATATGTAAAATAATTTGTTTCAATTTACCCAAAAAAATACTTTTTAAAAGTGATTATTGAGGAATCTAAACACTCTTTGAATCCAAACCACGGTTTGGGATCTAAAAGTGTTTTTTTTAATGGTTTTCCGAACACTCCGCATTGGGAACAGAAAGATTATAATAGACTATAATAGATGCCAAACTTCTGTACAAAACAAGGCATCCTGATATCTTGTACCCGACTTCATTAGATATTTTTATTATTTCTGGTTTTTAATATAAAATTTTATTTAATTTTTATTTTGATCCTAATTATAATATCTTAATCTACTGTTTCTCATATTTATACTTTCTTTCTCAAGATAGTCCCTCTAATAATAATAGTTCTAGTTAGTAAATTTGATTAGTAAGGATATTTTAAAAAAAACAATATTTATTTATTATAAATAATTAATTTAATTTATTTTTTTAATCTGTTTAAATAAGTTAACTAACTGTTATAATTAGGATGAGAAGTAGTATATTTCACAAGCAAGGATGACTGGCAACAGAAAGGTCTGAATTCGCTAGAGCGGTTGGTCATGGGTGAGAATGCTGATGTGACTTTATTGTTAAAAAATGTGAAAACGAATATGACACAAACGTGACATTTTAAAATATCATTTCAGTACAGTGAGGATATCATGCAAATTGGAATAACTGATTCGTGATTTCCTCACCTTAAGGAGATGCATCTGGGCTGGTCAAAAAAAAACAAAACTATATGCATCTGGGATTTTCCCATTTATTTCATACTTGGATCCGCGGATCATTCCCTTTATTTTGCCAAACAAATAATGCTAAACAAAAATTCCCTTCTTCCCCGGGAAGGCGGGTTCTTGCGAAGTTCCTGCGGGCCGAAAACCTCGAGAATATAATCAAGGCGCGAAGCCCGGGATTAGAGTATCTAATCGAAACGCGTTTCTTTCATTTTCTACTGACAGAAGATTGTCTAGTTGTCCGTGAATATGATAAAATAAAATGTAATAATAATTCAGCTGATACAAACGAAGGCTTAACTTGTTCCCACAAACCAAATCACCATTCCCTTCGTCTCGGTCTCTTGGTAAGCTCAGTTTCTTCCTCTTCCCCTTGACCTTTTCCACTTCCTTGTACTTCCTTTCGGTACGTTTTCGACTTCTTTCTTGGCTGGGTAGCTTCATATTTCTTTGAATCTATCAGTTTTTATGATGATCTTTTTCCTTATCGTTTTTTTCTGAGGTTTGTACCTTGATCCTGCTCTCTCGACCAATCTGTCCCTCCCTATGATAGATTGCTAATTTTGAAGTTTAATTAATTTAGAATCTCGTTCTATATACTTGGAGTTCTTTGCTAGTTGTGGATTTCATCGCCGTCAAAATGACGTTAATGTCTATTATGGATACTTTTACTGCTTTGTCGGGTGATATTAAACCTTGTTGATTTGCTGATTAGACTAAAATTTAGGAGAATATATGCAGGTTGACTTCGATTCACATTATTAAGGATTCAAATATCAGAGCCAGTTCTTGTATCTTGTGCTAGCAGATGAAGAGGGCTTAGTCGCTTAGATCCGAATCATTGAAGTAAGGGAAGAATTTCAACCAAGTGTGAAGCTTTATGGGGAATACTTGTGTTGGTCCGAGCATTTCCAAAAATGGTATACTTCAATCAGTTTCTGCTGTGATATGGAAATCCCGTGCACTCGATGATGCATCAGTTTCTAATGGAGGAACACTAAATGAGGAAACAGCTAGAGAACCGGAACCATCGTCCATGCCCGTCCAATGCAAGCCCCCTGAGCAAATGACTATGCCAAAACCGGAAGTGAAACCGGAAGAGAAGCCAGAACCCAATCCAGATGCCAAATCGGACCAAGATCAGAAATCTAAGCACAGGAAACCTACTTCGATAAAAAGGGTGTCCAGTGCAGGGCTCCGTGTTAGTTCTGTATTACAAACAGACACTGGTAATTTCAAGGAGTTTTATACTCTGGGGAGAAAACTGGGAGCGGGTCAGTTTGGGACAACATTTTTATGCGTGGAGAAAGCAACGGGCAAAGAGTATGCCTGTAAATCTATGGCAAAAAGGAAGATGGTAACTGACGAGGATGTTGAGGATGTGAGAAGAGAAATTCAGATAATGCATCACTTGGCTGGGCATCCTAATGTTATATCCATCAAAGGTGCTTATGAAGATGCACTAGCTGTTCATGTTGTGATGGAGTTATGTGCAGGTGGTGAGCTTTTTGACAGGATTATTCAGCGTGGACACTATACAGAAAGAAAGGCAGCCAACCTAATCAGGACTATAGTTGGGGTTGTGGAAGCTTGTCATTCTCTTGGTGTGATGCACAGGGATCTTAAACCTGAAAACTTTCTCTTTGTCAATCAGCAGGAGGATTCTCCTCTCAAAACCATAGACTTCGGATTATCTATATTTTTCAAACCAGGTATTTTCTGATGTCCATGCAAATCAATACCATTTGAAATCAGCTTTGCATAAATTCAAATATATTCATGCAAAAACACGAGTGTGCTTGTGCACACAGAGACCTAAAAAAGAAACAGGGTGGGAGAAGGGGGATTTTCCTCTGACATTGTTTTTCTGTATTTGCATTTGGAATTAAGATATTATGAACTGGTAGATGACTTCAGTTATACCGAATTTCATGTTTATCTTAACTTTTTGTGGGAAAATAATTCGCCGGCTATTTTCCGCTTTCTGTACTTCTTTTTGGGGAATATTATGAGATGCAAAGAGATGCTCGTCTTATTTTTAACTTCTTTTTTGGTCTTAAGACCTATAGTCTAAAGGGCTTCGTAATCTTTAGCATTATTATATCTTTGAAATGCAGATTCCACTATTATCTCGATCATAGGCCCTCATACGATCTGTCAGTCTTTGCTTTCATGCATTGCTGTGAAGCTGTTGTAGTTTGTAATTGTGTCTCTTTGGGGCAGGTATTGTAAAGGGGGGGATGGTTGAGAATGGATGCGTAGGAAAATCAATTTACAATATAGATCTGTGCTTTATTTGTCTATTTTAATTGGATTCTTTTTTTTTTTTTCCCATTTTCCTTTTTAATCTAGAAATTTTTTGTCCTTGCTTATTCTACATTTATTTTGATTAAACTGATGATATGAACTTTGCTGACAGCTATGGTTATTACTTTTAGCCTCAGCTAATGTTCTGTAGATTGATGAATTTTGGAAATAGTTAAGAGAAAGATTGAAGATCTTTACTGGTTAAGCAATTGTTTATACAGAAGTAGATTTGACTTTATAATAAACGGATCAGAGCTATCTAGTTTCTGAACTTTCAGGATTTAGATCAATCATAGTCACATGATGTGTGGTACATTGGAAACAAATTATGATGGCAAACAATTGGTTTTCTCACTATAAATTTTTTGGGTAACATGAGGACCACCTTTTTGGTTTTCTAAAGCTATACTATCTAATTTGAAGTTCCATTAAAAGCTTTTTTCCCCCCCTTTCCCCCTTCTTTCTGGGGTGAAGAAGCTTCATAAAGCTTGAAGCAATATATTGAGACCATGGAGAGAAAGTAATGGCCATTCTCTTTCAGGTGATATGTTCACTGATGTGGTTGGCAGCCCTTATTATGTTGCCCCAGAGGTTTTGCGAAAGCGTTATGGCCCAGAAGCAGATGTCTGGAGTGCTGGGGTAATCCTTTACATTCTTTTGAGTGGAGTACCTCCATTTTGGGCAGGTGAGCACTTTTAGATTTGTCTGGACTGTCATTTTGGCCTATTATCTTGGGAACTTATCTATTACTTTATTTTTCTGATTCTTAATTTACTCTCCTATTTCTGAATCCTCATCATGGTTTTGCAGAAAGTGAGGAAGGGATATTTAAAGAGGTTCTGCATGGTGATCTTGACTTTTCATCTGACCCCTGGCCTAGCATTTCTGAAAGTGCCAAAGATTTAGTAAGGAAAATGCTTGTTCGTGATCCTAGAAGGCGGCTGACTGCACATCAAGTTTTATGTAAATATAGTTCAATTATCATAGTTGCTGCTAAATGATTAATTAATCATGATTTTGGCATTGCTTGGACCCTTGCTTTGATACAGGAATTGATTGAAAAATGTTACTGTCTAATGCTTCGCCGCAATGTCCTGGTGAAAATTTGGTGTCAGAAACAGACCTATCTATATGTCATTAATTCTCTCTTCGATGATCTAAATAAATAATGAACATTATCCTGCTAGATATAAAAGCTATGATGCTTTTGGTTAGGAAATGTTTGTGGTTTGTTTCTCAAACACTTGTCTTTTTGAGTTCTTGGTATATAGGAGATATCTTTGATCTTGAAAAGTCTTGTGGACGTAGAAGTTCTAAAAATGTCAAAATTCATTTTTAATGTCCAGCCTTTACCTACCCTTTCAATCAATATATTTGACATGTGTCCCAACTCTCATTCGATCATATCTTGTAGCTGAATCTTCAATTTATCAGTGGAATATGTTATGCTTGTCCACTCTAAGCTGAATATAACAATATATTCTGTTTTCTAAGATTTGAACCACAGTCTAGCATTTTGTAATGTTATATAACACATAAAATACCCATGATAAAATACTTTCACAAGGACATGCCAAAATCAGTATTTGCATTATTTGGTGCCAAAATCCTAAAGTACTTTCATAAGTGCATAGTGATAAAAGCACGTCCTTATGATTTTGGCACCAAATAATGTAAATGCTAACTTTCCTCAAGTTCTTTCTGTTGATTTTGTACCCACTGTATGCCATATTTACATCTTGGTGTTATGGGCTTCTCCAAAATTGCTCATTATTTATTTATTTATTTTTGGATTGTAACGTTAATATATAAAGAAACTCAAAGAAAGTTACTTCTGGCTTCTTTTTTTAAATAATTATTGTCCAAATTTGAAATAGAATGTCATTATAAGGAAACTTATCTATTTCCTGCAGGTCATCCTTGGATTCAAGTTGATGGCGTAGCTCCTGATAAACCACTTGATTCTGCTGTATTAAGTCGCTTGAAGCAATTCTCTGCTATGAATAGGTTCAAAAAAATGGCTCTTATAGTAAGTCTCTACATTTTTAAGCATGGGTGTCGTTCTTTACATAAACAGTTGGTGCAGTATGATGAAGATGAAATTAATGTTGCTGGGTAATTTTTGAATTAGTTTTTAATTATATCTGTTTTTATGTAAATCATTTGTTGTCAGTTTTGTCATTTCATGTTATTTTATCGGTATGAGGTTTTTGTTTTAGCATTTTAATTAGGTTTCTGTATTTCTGTTATATTAGTCTGTAATTATTATTCTATCAACCCTTTTTAATATTGATTAATAATATTAAACTGTATAAAAATATTGAATCAATTCAGAGGGTTCTCTACCTGCTATGTTTCACAAGTGCCAAAGTTGATAACTGATAACTAATTGTAAAATTATCCCTAATTATTAATTACAAATGATGAAGTCAAAAGGTTGTTGAATTATAAAATAATTAGATTTATGTAGGAAATCACGGTGATTAAGGAGATTTGATATGCCATTATTATAGGAGTTTAAATTTCAAATTGTTTCCAGATTACAGTAGCTTGATTCTCGGCCCCTCTTTAATAGGCCTGTTGTATTCATTCAGTATATAATCACTCCTGTACATACCAAATAGGATTAAGGAAGAAGTTTACTCCATTGTCGTCTCCTTTCCTTCATGGTATCAGAGCAAGGGGGGGCGACATCTGAATCTTCCGACACTGAGATGGAGTCGAACACGCAGCCAGAGACGATACCCAAAAAATCGGCTCAGGCGACTGGTGATTCCTCCGCAAATGGCGCCTCGCGCCTCGTCGCTGCTGGGTTTGAAGGCTCGGCGGTGCTCATTGTTCCAGAAAAACTCTCGGGAGAGAATTACCGAGAATGGGCTCAATCCATGCGCCTTGCACTCGACGGTCGTGGCAGACTTGGACACGTCACCGGCGAGACAGCTCCTCCTCCACCGTCTGACGTCAACGCATTGAGGAGCTGGAGATCCGAAAATGCATTAGTGTCCTCCTGGTTGGTGAATACGATGATTCCCACGGTGAAGAAGAGCTTTATGTTCTTACCGACTGCACGAGACATCTGGGAAGCCGCGAGAGAAGCTTACGGGGACGGTCAAAGTGCTGCCCAAGTATTCGAAATAAAGACCAAGCTGTGGCAGCTGAGGCAAGATTCCCGTAGCCTGAATGAATACTACCTGGAAAAGGTTTCTTTATGGCAGGAATTAGACTTAATCAGTGAAGAAAAGTGGCGGTGCGCAGAGGATGCCACTAGTCACAGAAAGAAAGTTGAGAATGAGCGCTTATTCGAACTACTCGCTGGACTAAATTCAGCATTTGATGATATTAGGGGACGGATTCTAAGCCAAGAACCACTGCCATCAGTCCGTGAAGGATTCGCAATACTACGCAGAGAAGACTCACGTAGAAAGGTCATGCTCACGGGAGACCCAGCACCTAGAAATAGTGCCACCGAGGTATCTGCCCTTGCTGCCCGTTCTGTTGAACCACGACATGGCAAGAATCGCCCCATTTGTGAACACTGCAAAAAGACAGGACACACTAAGGAAACCTGCTGGGATTTACATGGGAAGCCACCTGATTGGAAGCCCAAGAAGGGTAGGGGTCGTGGTTTTGTGGCAGAAGCTTCAAGAACTGATGAACCAAGTACCTCCTCGTCTATCCAAAACAGTGACCCACTCAACAAAATTCTGGAAATGCTTACCACTATGCAGAATAATCAACAATCTCATAAACAGCCTATTGCTACGGTGGTCAAACGAGGTAATTTCTTCAAAGCATTGGCAACCATTAAAGGTATGAGCACTGGTAATTGCTGGATAATAGACTCAGGGGCTTCTGACCATATGACAGATGATGCTTCGTTATTTTCTTCCTACACCCCAGCTAAGACTCGACTCACTGTTAAGATTGCTGATGCTTCTGATTCTCTAGTAGTTGGCATTGGAAGTGTTAAAATTTCTGCCACTTTAACGCTTCGCTGTGTACTTCATGTACCAAATTTGAAATGTAACTTAATATCTGTTAGCCAATTAGCAAGAGATGAACGGTGTAACGCTAATTTCTTTGCTACTCATTGTGTATTTCAGGATCTGCTCACGGGGATGACGATTGGCACTGCGAAGGTGTTTGATGGACTTTACTACTTAGATGAAAGTAATGATCAGCATGTTAAGTTTTGCAATAAAGTGTCTCTCCCTAGGACTAGTGAATTGGAGTTATGGCACAAACGTTTAGGACATCCAAATATTCATTACATGTCTCAAATGTTTCCCTCAATTTGCTCAAATAAAGATTGCACTAATTTTTGTTGTGACTCTTGTGAATGGCCAAACATCATCGAACCTCTTTTCAACGGGTTCCTTATCAGGCTTCCACACCTTTTGCAACTATCCATAGTGACTTGTGGGGTCCCTCGCGTGTGTCCAATCGCACTCATTCAAAATGGTTTGTCTCATTTATCGATGATCACACACGGGTCAGTTGGGTTTTCTTACTTAAAGATAAAACTGAGGTCTATCAAACTTTCATAGATTTCTACCATATGATCCAAACCCAGTTTCAAACCACCATCAAAACTCTTCACACTGACAATGGCACAGAGTACTTCAATAAGAGCCTTTCTACTTTCCTAAAAGATCACGGCATTTCCCATAAAAGCTCCTGCCCTTATAGTCCTCAACAGAACGGTATCGCAGAACGGAAAAACAGGCACATTCTTGAAACCGCTAGGGCACTTATGTTCAGTACTAATGTCCCAAAATACTACTGGAGTGATGCTGTTCTCACAGCAACATTCCTCATAAATAGAATGCCCAGCAAACCCCTGTCTTTTCGCACACCTTTACAAGTCCTACATGATCACTACCAAATTCCATACCTAGCAAACACCTTACCCTTGAGAGTATTTGGTTGCACTACTTATGTTCACCTTCATCACTCAAACAAACTTGATCCTAAGGCCCTACGCTGTATCTTTCTCGGTTACTCTGCCTCTCAAAAGGGATACAAGTGTTATGATCCAGCAACAAAACGTCTCTTTGTCACTTGTGATGTCAGTTTCCATGAAACCATTCCCTACTATCCTAAACATTCAATTCAAGGGGAGAATTGGAGCGAATTGAATGACAAAAGTGACACCACCAGTATCCCCATTATACCTGATCTACAGCTGGAACCCCAACTCGTGTCCGAAATGCCTTTAGAAACCTTACTTGACACCCCCACACCTGAGGAACACGAAAAGGAGGAAGTGCCTAGTGATACAGGAAAATCTAATCCAGGGGGAGACACTACCAAAGCTGTAAAATTCTATACAAGGAAAAACAAGATAAGTGAAGTCCCTCAGGCACCCCGTATGAGCCAAGAAGCAGAACCGGAGGCAGACCTGGAAAAAAGGCAAGAGGTAGCTAATGATGAGGAGCTATATAGTGGTAATGAGAAAGTTGATAATGAGAAAGTTGATCTTGATTTGCCTATTGCAGTGAGGAAACAGCCTAGAACAAGGCATCCAATCGAAAGATTTGTTTCATATAAAGCACTTTCCTCGAAGTATCATGCTTTTATCTCATCTCGACAGTGTCAAAGTTCCAAATAACATAGATGAAGCACTCGCCATTCCTGAATGGAGGCAAGCAGTTATAGAGGAATGGAGGCTTTGAAAAGAAATGGAACATGGGAGGTAGTAGATCTACCAAAAGGCAAGAAACCAGTTGGTTGCAAGTGGGTGTTTACCCCTAAATATCTAGCAGATGGTACTCTTGACAGGTATAAAGCAAGACTTGTTGCACAAGGCTTCTCTCAAGTGTATGGGCTGGATTATACAGAAACTTTTGCCCCTGTAGCGAAGTTAAATACAATCAGAATCCTCTTGTCCCTAGCTGCAAATTTGGATTGGTCGTTACACCAACTAGACGTCAAAAATGCTTTTCTCAATGGAGAATTGAAAGAAGAAGTGTACATGAAGTTACCTCCAGGATTTCCCGGAAGAACATCAAGGCAAGTCTGCAAACTCAGAAAGTCGCTGTATGGACTAAAACAGTCCCCTCGTGCATGGTTTGATCGCTTCACTCAAGTCCTAAGAACTCAAGGTTACATTCAAGGCCAAAGTGATCATACTCTATTCTTTAAACACCAGCATGCGAAAATCACAGTTCTAGCTGTGTATGTGGATGACATTATACTTACAGGGGATGATCTTACAGAAATTGATAGAATTAAGGGAGCGCTGGCACAAGAATTCCAAATTAAAGACCTAGGAGAGATGAAGTACTTTCTTGGAATGGAAGTAGCTAGATCAAAAAAGGGGATTTACATTTCACAACGAAAATATATCCTGGATCTCCTAAAGGAAACTAATATGATTAGTTGCAGACCAAGTGACACTCCCATCAGAGCTGACAAGATCAATGATGAGGAAGACTTGGGAAAAAATGTGGATGTGGGAAGATATCAACGCATGGTGGGGAAGTTGATCTACCTCTCCCACACGCGTCCAGACATAGCATTTGCAGTTAGTGTGGTGAGTCAACACTCGCATGATCCGAGACAGAAACACCTCAACGAGGTTTATAGGATCCTACGATACTTGAAAGGCTCTCCAAGGCGAGGACTATTATTCAGCAAATCTGATAAGAGGAAAGTTGAAATGTTTACAGATGCTGACTGGGCAGGTGACCAGGATGACCGAAAATCAACCTCAGGGTATTGCACCTTTGTTTGGGGCAATCTTGTCACATGGCGAAGTAAAAAACAAAGTGTGGTCGCTCGAAGTAGTGCAGAAGCAGAATTCAGAGCCATAGCTCTTGGAATCTGTGAAGGTATATGGGTGAAACGGGTACTTAAAGAATTAAGGATGAATGTTAACCTACCCATTAAACTCTATTCGGATAGCATGGCCGCCATCAACATCTCACACAACCCAGTTCAGCATGATCGAACAAAGCATGTGGAGATAGATAGACATTTCATAAGGGAAAAAATTGATGGAGGAACAATTGATCTGAGATACATTCCCTCAAGGGAACAAACAGCAGATTTACTCACAAAAGGGTTAGCCAAAGACAAATTTGAATACCTTGTTGGCAAGTTGGACATGACTAACATTTATGATCCAACTTGAGGGGGAGTGTAGGAAATCACGGTGATTAAGGAGATTTGATATGCCATTATTATAGGAGTTTAAATTTCAAATTGTTTCCAGATTACAGTAGCTTGATTCTCGGCCCCTCTTTAATAGGCCTGTTGTATTCATTCAGTATATAATCACTCCTGTACATACCGAATAGGATTAAGGAAGAAGTTTACTCCATTGTCGTCTCCTTTCCTTCAATTTACAATAAATCTCCTTTGTTATCATGCATTATCTTGCTGCATAAATTTGAGCGTGTGGTTACTTACGCTAAATCTGGTACATTGGACAACCTTTTTTTTTTTTGGGGGGGGGGGGGGAATTAAAATGTCTTATTTTGCCCCTTTTCATTTGATTATCATTTGCTTCTTTTTCAGGTTATTGCTGAGAGCTTATCTGAAGAAGAAATAGCTGGCTTGAAAGAAATGTTCAAGATGATAGATACAGACAATAGTGGTCAAATTACGTTCGATGAGCTTAAGGCTGGTTTGAAAAGAGTGGGTGCTAATCTTAAGGAGTCTGAAATATATGATTTGATGCAAGCAGTGAGTCTCTCTCTCTCTCGCTGTGTTTTTTTTTTCCTTTTCCCCCCTTGGGAAACAAAGAAAGTATTACTGTTTGCAAGTAACATGGAATGAATAGGATGAAAGTTTAAATCTTGTATTTGGTAAATTTTCCCAGTAAATAATGTAGATGCATAAAATTAACGTGCATTTATAGCACACGTTATCAACAAAGTATGATTGTAAACTGAGGTTGCTTTTGAATTTCTGCTCGTACTTTTTGATAATTCTAGGAATATTTTACAGGGATCTCGTTTACAGTTTGTTTGGTCATTCTATTTTGAAAATGGACTTCCCAGATGATACCTAGGAGGTTGACAGGGGCTCAATATGCTTATTAAGATATCCACGAAAAAATCATTATAATTACAAGAGTCAGGAACGTTAGTGAAGGGTTGAAGCACAACACAAAGATATGCTTGGTCACTTGAGCATACACACATATGTTGAAGAAATTATGTGAGAACAAAAATTAGGAATGACTAAGGGCCTTGGAAATTATGTGAGAATCAATAGAAGCATGGCCAAATTAAAAGGTATGAGTTTCTTTATACGGTCATGGTGTTAGGATAAATAGGGGTTGAGGGCAATACTAAACAAAATAACTTAAGTCTGTTGTTTGGCTTTTTTCTTTCCTCCTGTCTAATGTTGATTTATGGCTTGTTTGGTCATCATTGTTTCCCATTCTTGCGAGATTTCAGCCTATGAAGGTATTGTTTTCTGTTATGGAGTTGTCGAAGCTGAGTTTCACTGTGGAGTTTGTAGTAGTCTGATGTTATGGTTTAGTGTTTTTGGTTTTGGTTTTACTGTTATGTTTTGAGTGCAACCCAGACAGTTGTATGTATTGAAAACTTTGCCCTTGGCGAGGGAGTTGTGATTGGCTAGGCTTCCCCTTAAAATTTTGAGGTTTATTTTATTTAGCAATTTTCACATAGGCTTCTATAAAAACAGTCATTAAAATCTTACTCTATTTCACTTTCTCTACCTAAATGTAGGCCACAACATACTCCCAAATATTTAATATTAGTGTTTTTGTTTTGTTTTGTTAGTTTTGTATGTCAAAAAGTGAAAAAAGGAAACTTGTTTGTAATAAGGAAAGGCCCACCAACAGAAACACCCCCCCCCAAACAAAACAAAACAAAAAAAATTATACATTGGGTGTTTTCGTCAAAAACTCAACTCTCAGTTGAAAGGACAATAGATGTTGGGGACTTGGGTCATGTTACTACAATTGACAAACGCCATAAATACAAAACGGGTCGGAGTTATTGTCACGCAACTAAATGATTCGAATACTCTTGCATGTATTTTGTTGTAGGAAGATTGACCCAGATGCCATTTATTGTCTTTTGGTTTAGGGTATTCTGGTCAGATCACATTATATATACGCTTATGACTTGCCACTGATTGATATCCATATTTCTTTTTCGGCAATAGCCCTTTGCTACGATTTATAGGGCAGTTTGTGGTGTTTCTTTAGGTGTCTTGAGATCTTACCACCAACATCTTTCACATTCAACGACTTTTCTTAGCAGCACCAATCTGCATTAAATAATTTTCTCTCTGTAGTCATTTTTTATGCCAAACCCATGAACTAGGCTTGAAAAAGAACATTATGGCATCAAGTCATATGTATAGTGGTCCTGTAATGCATGGAATCTAACGTGATATGAATTGTGCAACCTCTGTAGATTATATATATTGATTAATCGTTAAAGAAGTATATATCATTAGTTTAACATTTTCAAATATTGTTTTAATTTGAATTGTAGGCTGATATTGACAATAGTGGAACTATCGATTATGGGGAGTTTATAGCTGCAACATTGAATCGAAACAAGATTGAAAGAGAAGATCACCTTGTTGCGGCCTTTTCTTACTTTGATAAGGATGGAAGTGGCTATATTACTCCAGATGAACTTCAACAAGCTTGTGAGGAGTTTGGTGTGGAAGATGTCCGCTTGGAAGAGATAATCAAGGAAATCGATCAAAATAATGTAAGTTGTTTCCACTTTTCAGTTTTTTCCTATATAAAACCGCCCCTACTAGTAGTTTTGCTTGAGCATGCTTAAATGACCTGTTTTTAAGTTACCTCTTTTCTCACGTCTTCAGGTCAAAACGGAAATTTTTTACAAGGGCTATCCGGTCTCTGTGTTATAGGAACAGTACTTCCCTTTTTATAAGATCAAGTAACTGAATTATATAGATAAAAAGTTGATTAAAATTGGTTAAAGGCAATAAGTATGTAAAAAAATATAACTTGTTTTCTTAAAACACTTGTTTATGGGTGGGGAGAGAGTGAGAGAGAGATTAACCAATAATTAGTGCAGTGACCCTAACTAATAATTAATGGGGACAAAAATTTAAAAAATACATATATACTAAAAATTTTAGACAAGTTATTAGTATTACCTATAAGTTGGAATGAGTCATTCCGTAAAAAAAATCTCGTGTGTGTGTGTGTGTGTGTGTGTGTGTGTGTGTAAGGGTGGAGGGAGTAATGACCAATGATGGCTTGATGGAATCTTATTAGAATTTCTGTGTGTAAGCTGATGAGGTTGCACCTTATTCTTTTTAATTTATGTGTGTGTGTGTGTATACATTTTTTCAAAGGTGGCTTCTTGCTAACTGGATGCGTGAAATTCATCACACTTGCCCTTTAAAAGAAGGGAAAATTGCAATAAGGTTTCACCCAAGATAATTAAATACAAAAAAATCCCCTAAAATCATCAAATTATTCTGAGGTTCCCTCATTACAAGAGATTTTATCTGTTTAATTACAAAATTGTCTTCTTTTTTTTTAAGTATGCATTGACAACTAAAAGAGCAGTTGTTAATAACTTAAGGTGTAATGATTAACAATTATTGCAGCAATTGAACTCCGTTTGGCAGTCTCTCCATGCAGAAAATGTTGCTATTATCAATTGTTTTTTCATTTTTTATATATTTATATATTTTTACGATGCAGGATGGGAGGATAGATTATAACGAGTTTGTAGCCATGATGCAGAAAGGAAATGTTCCTGTAATTGGTAGGAAGGGATTAGAAAATAGCTTCAGCATCGGTTTTAGGGGAAGGCATTAAAATTTAAAACTGTATTGTTCATATTTAGGGAGGAACATTAAGATTCTTTTCTTCTTTTTCTTCTTTTTCCCTTTTGGGTTTTGGCCCCCTGGGCTTCAAGATTTATTTAACAGGAACAAGCAGGCATGTAGGAGGCATCTATGCCTTTATTTTCTGCTGTTGTTTTTGTGCTTCCGATATAAATTTGGATTTTGTAATTTTGATATACTGTACAAATTTTAGATTTATGTAAAAACATTGTTTTCCATTATCATCATATGCCCAACGGACTGAATATTGATGGATTACCACTTTTATAAATGACTTCATTTGCAGGGTATTTGGTATGATTTTTTAAGTGATTTTGCAGGCAAGTATGTAGAAGTTTTATCTCAACTTTGTAAGAAAGTAATTTAAGTGATTGCAAGGGGGATTGCCATGGAATATGAGATGTATTCATGGATTTTTCCATAGGAGTGGGGAATAGCGGAGTGCATGCCTTTATACTTCTCTTATCCTACTATATGCGTATTCATAATACTCTTAAGGAGACAGTACATTCTAACATGTAGAGTTTTTTTTTTTTTTTTTTCAAGGTATAAGAGTTAGATAACTAAATTATATTGTCTCCAATTCTAATTATAAGAGCTAGTTAACTAATTTGAAAAGACTAAAAAAAAAAATTAAGTTAATTATTCATAGTAAATAGGTGTTGTCTTTCCTAAAATATCTTTGTTAATCAAGTGTATTGGTTAGAACTATTATTGTTAGAAGAACCATTTTGAAAAAAAAAAACATAAATATTAGAGACAAAATGAATTGAGGTTTTATATTTAGGACCAAAATAAAAATCAAATGAGATCTTATAATTAGGACCGGATATAGTAATATCAAGAAAGATTTGGGCTGCCTCCCTAAAGCTCCCAAGGGACAAATGGAAGATTTTAAATCGGAACTGTTGGTGTATAAAGAAGTCCATGGCAATTTAGAGACAAAAAGAAACCTATTAAATTTTTTTTTGTGGCTAAAGTATAGATATCTTCTTATTGGAGACAATCCTATTCAAAACACTATCAGGCACTAAATGTAGGCACCTCTCCTAGTGAGGATTTGAACCTTGGTTTGTTATGTTGTGAAGGACTAGGTCCTTCCGCTAGACACAACTTCTCTTAGTGAAACCTATTAAATTGTATCATCTTAATTTTCCTTTTATGGCGGACATTGAGGTGTTTATATCCCTCATTGCTGGTTTAATTCCAAATCTGGTTCAATTGCATCGTCCTAGTTTCCTATATTGGGTCTTTGTGCTATTTTGTTTAAACTATGGGCCCGTTTGGCATCACGTTTGGGGGCCCAAACGTGCGTTTCCATCGGGCTTCTGATGTGGCTGGGTTTTTGAGTTGTTTGGATTCACAGTGGCCCAATCTGACTTCTGAAGGCTCAGATGGACTTATGGGAGAAGTTGATTTGTGGAGCTTTTTTTTGGAGGCCGATGCGTTTGAGAAACCGTTGGTAGCATGTTAAATATTTTTACCTACCTACCCTCTGCATGTTTATTAGCTAAAAGAAAATACCCACACACGCACTCGGCACTCTGATTTTCAAACGCGATCTGAAGCTGAAAAAGGGAGCCTTGCTCACGACGTCGTCTTCTGCCATATCCCCGCCGTGCACCCGCCGTCTCTCGGCGTGTCTCCGCCGTCTCATCAGTTCCGGTTCTTGTGTGGGAGTGGGTCGTTCGGTCATTCGGTCAGTTCTGCCAGTTCGTTCGGTTGTTCTTCCTCTTCCTCTGCCTGGTTGAAGCCAGCGTCGCCGTCCATTGTCGCCGCTGTCTCCTTCCGTGTCATCTCTGGTTCTTGTGTGGGAGTGGGTGGCTTGTGGCCGTTCGTTCAGATCCTCCAAATATCGTTCGGTTGTCACTCTTCTCCCTCTGTTCGGTTGCATTCCAGGGTCGCCGTCCGTTGTCACCGCCGTCTCTCTCCCGCCGTGTCTCCGTCATGTTCCACCGTCTCCTCTGTTCTGGTTCTTTTGGACTGTGGCCGTTCGTTCAGCTCCTCCAAATACTGCTGGGTTGTTCGTTTGATCATTTCTTCCTCTGTTCGGTTGCAAGGCAGTCCGTCCGTTTTCACTGCCGCCGACCGTGTCTGCTCCTAATCCACAAGTCTCGTTCGTTCAGCTGGTAAGAGATACGTGTTTTTGGTCCTAGATCTGCTGGTCTTCGATTCATGTTGTTGGCTGCCATTGGTAGATAATTCGGACCCATAGCCTTATTGATTTTAGAAGTGTTGATCTGATGTTCTTGCTCTTGATCTGATGCTCTTTCAATTAATGTGGCCTGGCTGTCGAATGGTAGTAGTGTAGTAGGAAAAACTGATGGTAGTATGACCTGGTAGTATCGTAGGAGGCAGAACCGCTGGTCTTTGATTCTTCTGATGATGATTTGTCGTTCTGAGTACCCCTTTCCTGTTAATTATTTGTGACAAGCTTCGAAAAGTTGGCGTTTTTTTAGTTTGAAAATGTGAAGATCAGTGTTTCAATTAATGTGGCGCTTATTGTTGATGAGTATGTTTTACAAACCTAAATATATATGATTCTGAGGTTATAATTCATAAATATTATATATATTAGATATTTCCTCTCATATTTATTTACAAGAGAAACATAAAAAGAATTTTGAAACATACATATCTGATATTTTTTAGGTGTCTGCCTCTTAGGAAGTTGTTTGTAAAGTGCCTCTAATTTAAGATTGTTGAATTTGTATAATATTTCTGCATTGTTGGAAGAAAAGTGCTCTGGTTCACTGTAACTCCCTTTTGCATTCTTGATTGACATTTTTCAATAGAATTATGAACAAAGATAAAGGTAAGGCAACATGGGATACAAGCACCACAGAGGTGTTACTTAAAGAATGCATGGAGCAAATCTACCGGAAAAATCGTCAAGGAACATCATTTTCAAAGACTGGGTGGAACAACATTCATTCTGCATTCAATGCAAAAACAGGAAAATCATATGAGAGGAAGCAATTGAAAATAGGCTTGATAGCTTGAGGAAGGATTGGAGGACATGGGTTGATTTGAACAAAGAAACTGGTGTAGGTTGGGACCCTATAAACAATACAGTGGTGGCAACAAATGAGTGGTGGGAGAAGAAAAAACTGGTATATAATTGTTGATCTTGAGTTATGAACTGTGTTATTACTTGTTATAGGCTTTTTATTTTTGTTGATTGTATTCTTGCAGGAGAATCCCCAGTATGAAAAGTTTAGGTACCAGGGGTTAAAGTTTGCTCATGAATTAAACACGATATTCAAGGGTGTGATAGCATCTGGAGAGGATATGTTGGCACCGTCTTTAACCCAACCTCAGACACAAGAGGATGATGAAGAGAATGTGTATAGAGTTGATACAGATCTCCTTGAAGGATCGGGGGATAGCGAAGAAGATCTTGGAGGTGCTAGTATAGGAGTTACGGATGAGATGGCAGGCGTAAACTTAACAGCAAATACTGCACCTAATGGTTCAGGAAGCCATGGGAAGAGGAAGAGAGGTGAAGGGTCTAGCAGGCAAACAAAGCAAAAACTTCCAGCCTCAAGACAAATAGCGGATTCAGTTAGTGAAATAGCTACTGCATCTAAGGATAGAGCTGCAACTCTTAAGAAAATAAAAGAGGTATCAATTTCTGAGGTTACGGCCGAAGTGCTCTGCCTTGAGGAAATTACAAGTGACTCTGATTTCCGGAACCGGTGCTTAAGACTTCTGTTGCACAAGAGTGTTCGGGAAATGGTTGTTTCACTAAAAGGACAGCCAGAATACTTGGTTGCATGGCTACAGGATATGGCATACAATCCACCATCATGGCTGAAACCCCCGCCTGCTTGAACTATATTTTAGGACGCATGTTATGATTTTATTTTGTCTAACTCGGACCAGAGTTGTTATTATATGTTTTTCAGTTAATGTTTGTGAAACTATGAAATTATGTAACTTGTTAACTGACTACGAATGTTTTGAATGTTTTTAAGTTACATGTGTTATTTATAATGGTAATTGCAGCTTATGAATGTTTTTAGACTAATTTTTATGTCTTTGCATGTTTAACAGAAAGAAATATTTATTTGCACATACCTAAAAATATTTATTTGTCGTTTAAAAAAATTCTTACAGTTGAATTTAATCACACTCACAGGTGACATTATCTATGGCAAATTGGAACAATCAATTTACGTTTGAGTGGATGGAGGAAGATGAACAGTCTGAAGAGGAGTCGGAGGAAGATGAACAGTCTCAATTGATTTCCCTTTTAGATGAAGAGATAACACAATATGAAGAGGTAGCTGTATTGGTGAGTCAATATGTGATGCCTTATGTGTGCAAAGAACCACGAAGAACTAGTCAGCAAACAGGTAATTTATGGGTGCAAGAAATTTTGCGAGATCATGAAATTCGGTGTTATGACATGTTTCGAATGGAAAAAGAAATGTTCATGCGATTATGCTCTAAACTGGTCGAACATGGTTTAAAAAATTCTAAGTATCTGGGAGTGGAAGAAATTGTTGGTATGTTTTTGAACACGGTTGGTCATGGATAATGTAATAGGATGATTCAAGAAAGGTTTCAACATTCAGGAGAAACTGTAAGCAGGCATTTTCATAGAGTATTACAGGCTTGCCTTAGTCTTTCCAGGGAATATATCAAACCACTCGATCCTACGTTTTCTGTAACTCACCCAAAAATAAAAAACGATAAACGATATTCGCCATATTTCAATGATGCAATAGGAGCAATTGATGGCACTCATGTACGATGTGTGGTGAGTCTTTCGAAGCAAGACAAATATATCGGGAGAAAGGGATATCCACACAGAATGTCATGGCTGTATGTGATTGGGACATGTGCTTCACTTTTGTGTTAGCGGGATGGGAAGGTACTGCACATGATGCTCGTGTGTTTAACACTGTGTCTCAACTCCAGCCTTGGATTTCCCTCATCCACCTCCAGGTATATTTTCAGTAGCTTCAATTTTAATTATATCAAATTCATTTGATATTTTCATTAATTTCACAATGTCAACATAATTTCATGATTTATTAGGGAAGTATTATTTGGTCGATGCTGGCTATCCAACTCCACCAGGATATCTTGGTCCGTACAGATGTGAGCGCTATCACCTTCCAGACTTCAGGCGACAACCGGGATTTGAAAATTATAACGAAGTCTTCAATTACTACCATTCAAGTTTGAGGTGCACTATAGAAAGGACTTTTGGGGTGTGGAAGAATAAGTTTCGCATTTTAGATAAGATG